AGTTGAGTTTTTTTTGTCTATCTTTCCATTTTTGTGTTAGATTAGAAATCATCTGTATGAAAAATCTAATTCCTTGCATACATGAAAGAAATAAAATAACAGTCTTTTAAAATTTCTTTAATAGAAAAAAATAAACAAAGCATGTTCAGTATGTGTGACATACAAACCGCTCAATCTTTCTTTTTTAGAAATACATTCGGACTATAAAACTCAGTAATTTTAAATGCATTATATAATAGTATATTTAAGAATTATAATGTGTATTATATTTATAAATCACTGAAATACTCTTCTAAATTATGAAAAAATGATGATTTGTAAATTTTATTAGTTTGAGAATAGTTTGTTAAGTTTAAAACTACAAACACAATTTATACTTGGAGTAACAGAGCATGAAGGTAGATATGTATATATAAACCTAATCTTATTAAAATAAAAAAAGATTTTATTTGACTTTCTTGATTTTAGCTATTCTTTTAAAAAATAAAAACTAATTTAATAGAAAACAAGAATTTTCTATATTTATATTTTCTAATTTTAATTTAATTTCAATTTTTATTTTCTAAAATAAATTTCTATCAAAGAAACCATATCAATAAAAACTCTTTTCATTAGTTTAGCATATTTGCAATGATTTATAATATATGGTGTTTGTTAAAAATTTATTTTCTAACCTATGTTAATAATAAAATTCTATATTCATAGAAATAAATACTAATCACTTATTTATTTTAATAATAATACATTTTCATTAATAGATATATCATATAACTAAATTTTAATAGTACATTTGCATACTTTAAGATCTCTTAGCACTACTACGAGTAGTTTAAATTCAATGAAAATTGCATAATATCTTTTTTTAAATATTAAATAATAAAAAATATATATAACTTGACTTTAAGTTGAAACTATATATATATATATATATATATATATACACTAACACCACAACACATCTAATTAAAAATAAACATCATAGTATTATTTAGTTTTTAAGATTAAAATCAATATATATATATATATATATATATATAAGAAGTCTAAAATCAACAACTAATATAACATAAAACAATACTATATTATATTGTTTTATAATTTGTATTTGTACTACAAGAACAAGTTTTTGTATCTATATTTTAACTTTCTAAAATAAATTAAAAAAACATATATATATATATATATATATATATATATTATTAAATAAATATATTTAAAAAAAACTAGATAAAAATCACAATTATTTGTTAAGCTTCAAAGTATTTTTTTAATAAATACTTCTATTCTATATATTTATATATAGATATAGATATAGATATAATACCTAAATATTTTTTAGAATTTTACTAAAATATTTTTTAAGTATCATTTAGCTATTTGTAGCATTTATATATTTTATAAATATTTCAGGGCTTTGTATTAAAAAAAACTAACAATAATTTAAATATTTATTTTTTAATAAATTTTATTTTTGTAGTGATTTATTGTTCATTACAATAATTTTTTAATTAGTTCATTACTAAAATATTAATCTCGGGTATTGCTAGTACTACCACAATTTTTGCTATTTACATGTACTAATCATCATGAAGATATATGATCAATTACAATAATAATTGGATATATAAATGCAAAATATATATATATATATATATATATATAATATCCATAAATAAATAAATAATTGGCATGTATTTGTAATCTTCAACAATCACTACTAATTGTTTTCTGTATAAAAAAACATTCATTGCCATTTTATACATGATGGTTAAAACAACTTGTTCCTCTTGTTTTTTTATTCAGATAGATTCGAATTTTCAAATCTAATTACTTTTAGAATTGGCATTTTTCTATAACCTCTATTAAACTCCATCAATAATACTTTTTGTTTTATAAACGTGTATCCAAAGTGGATGTGTTAGAAAGAGCCAAAAAGAATGGTAACCATGTTAGCTTACAAACATTAGAATTGCTTGATTATTGCTCAGTAATATCACATTCAAAAACTATATACATACATACATACATACATTCTTAACTCTCAGCTAATTTACAATTTCTTGTACACAGTCAGCAGCAAAATGGGAAGCCCTTTCAAGTTGAGAGGGAGAATGGGAGCTGTGATCACATCCTCAGTGGGGCCTTGTATTGTTCCCCTTTATGAGAGGCTTTCAACAGGATGGGTGCAGACACACACAGTGACAAAACATACAAAAGGGAAGGAAAGGATGTGGTGTGAGTGATTATATATGGCTGCCAGCCCTCCTCTCCTCTCCTCTCCTCTCCTCTCCTTTCATTCACTTCAGGGCATGGAGCAAAATTTCTCACTGCCATCCCCTCATGTATATTTGTTTTCCTCCTTACAACCACAGCTCAAGCACAGCTTTCAGAACATGGAGGACTCATGTCACTGACAGTAAAATCAATTAAATGAATAACTAAATAAACAAAGCCAAATAAAATAAAATATGAGCACCAGTGGGATGGGTGTGGATGAAATATGTTGAATCTGCACAGGAAAGTACTCCTGATAAATTTTAAAAAAAATAAAGAAAATAAAAAAATGAGGAATGTGTGAGAATTGATAAGATATAAATGCAAATTTCAACATCCAAGATTATGGCTTTTGCAAAACAAGTTTGATCTTTGCCTCTCCCGTGGGACTTTTTATGAACATTGATATTGTGACTTTGACATGAGCCAGGGAGTTTGTAGGACATATATTCATGTGCTTTCACCTGTTTTTTTATAACATCAGAATAGGCATGTGTAGAACATTTATTGACTGGTGTTTTATTCCGTGGTGCTTCTATTACAAGCAAGTTGGAGTAAATTGTTCTTGTGTTTACATACATACATACACACATATATATATATACACATACATACATAAGGTTTTTTTTTTTTTTTTTTTTTTTTTTAAATCTCAATGTCTTGCAGGGAAAATGTTATGTTTTATATATTTGCAGCCACTTACACTGTGGTGACTATCATGGGGATTCAACACAACAGCCTTTTTTTTTTGTCTCTGGTTAGGTGGAAATGCTTTTTGGTGCATAGCCACAGATCAAATGACTGTCTGCCACACTCATGATACTACTCTATCACAAGGGAAACTTGTCCACAGAAGCAAGAACCAAAGCTTACTCTCACACACAAAAAAAAAAACAAAAAAAAAAAAAAAAAACAAAACAAAACAAAACAAAAACAAAAAAAACCCATATTGCTAAAATTCAATAGTAAAAACAAACAATTGGTTGTGCGGCAATAAAGGAATGAATGCAACCAGTGCTGACAGTGCTGCTGGAGCTGACAGGTTGTCAAATTGCGACACCCAGCCCTCATTTCATGTGAATTAGGTCATAAAAAGTGATGAGCTAGGACTGCCCTACAAATGGTTGTGGGGGGATAAATAAATAAAATAAGAAAAAAATGAAAATGTAAATCACTCATAGTCCAAGAACTCTCAAGGATTTGATCAGTTGGATGTTGAGAGGAGTTGCTGTCTAAGACTTTTAACCTATTACGAAGAAACCGTTAGAGTACAAAACAAAAACAAAAACAAAAGTGAGAAAATGATGTGGAGTCTACCATGACCACAATTATACTTGCGAACAGTGTTATTCTATAAACCATTTTGAATCAATACTCTTGGTATGGCAAACCCATGAACACGTCAAGGTGACAATCATAATACTGGAAACACAAAAAAGCATCCACATGATATTCTGATTCTTCTAACTTTCCTTATGCAAAAGTAGTCATAGTACTGTTTTTTATTTGTTTTTGTTTTTGTTTTGTTTTGTTTTTAATCATTTTCTTAATTTACCCTCCTCTGTGCCACAGAAACCAATGTCAGGCGCCCCTTCTTGTTTCTTCCATTGATAAAAAAAAAAAACTTCCAACATTCTCTGGCAGTAACATAAACACTAGCTAGAACAATAATATCAAAAAAATAATTTGATAATAGTCTTAAAATGTACTACTGATTGATGGATGCCACGTTCTAGCATTCCGAGGAATTTCAATATTTTGATTCATTTGCCTCAATTGGAAACCAATGGTGGAACTGTTGTGAGGAACGTGAACTTGTCTATTTTGGAGGTTAGTGGGGTGCCACGTAGGAAAAAGATACCACGCTGGCAAAAGATAAAAGATCTAGACGTGTATCTCCCGTTCAGACCAGGACGTGCAGTTGAAAAGACAGACCAGATTGTCTTTCTCAACAAGGGAATGACTTCCGTTTATCTAAGAGAACGACGGTCCTCTCATGCTCAAGGGGAGCTAGTTAATACGAAAGAGGGTTTAATCAATGGCAAATAAAAGTGTGTGATTCGTTGTCTTTTATGAGGAAGATTGGGTGTCATTCATCTCTTCATTGCTCCCTCTCTGAAGAGATGGAGGGAGGGATGTCGGTCTTTCATCAGTTCTCTGACTGAGGAGGCCTCAGACCTTCAATTCACGAATAGTAGGGTGCTAAAAAACAAACATTGATCATCCCATTAGAGCTCAAACCAAGAGTGTGGACGCAAGAGACGAAAAAGTCCGGATTCCGGGCTTTCAACCGCAATCCACATCACCCTATTAAATGCTCATTCTATTTTCTTCACAGAAAACAAATGGAAAACAAATGGAAGTCTATATATAACTGATGGGGTTTAAGAATTTAAGATTCGAGAGACCGTTTCTATCTACGACCCTCAAAGCATAGACAGCTAGTCCCACGTAAAAGGCTTTACTTAGGATTCGTGGGACCAAAAAAGTGGGCACCCATATTTGAGGGCCCTCTGTCCGTTTACACACACGTTCGCAACAGGCCACTTGGCTTGTCTTTTCGTTGCGTTCTCATTTTCGAATGGCTGGCGACCCCCTTTCACACCTCACCCCAATCAGGATAAAGTATTCGGCTTAGCCAGCTCCCCATCACCGCGCACCGTAGATCTACGGTTCCAACTCTACGCCTTGTTTTGAATATGTATTCCGGAGATCTATGGATATCTCTGCACGCAAGGTGAGCTGACATTAGAAGGGGGAGAGAGTGAGACGAGGAGAAGAACACATGCTCGAGACGGCCTTGCTGGAATTTCGAGGCACAGTTGAATGCGTGCAATTGTATACTGGTCGTTAATTCTTGTGAGAGTACGTTCAAAACCTCATTTAGTTTAACGTACTGCGCAGCTGCAAAAGATCGCGCTGTCGGGGATTGTGTGGGAGCCGTGATGCGAGTTTAGGGACGGCTTGAGAGAGTTTTTTCCTGAGTGTTTTGGTGCTGGAATAATGGGTGTTGAGCTGGTGTCTGTTGTTGTTGGCTGGTAGTGTTTCGTGGGAGGCGAACGGTGGGAGGTGCCTTCATCGTGAGAGTGACTTTGATGAGGAGGAAAGGTTGACAGGTGAAAGGCTTTTAGTGGAATGAGTAGAGGTGGATTGGCTCCGTGGAGATGAATGTGTTGGTGTAATGTTGTGGATAGGAAGGTGAGAGAGAGTGTGCGACTTGACGACGGGAGAACAAGACGAAGAAGAAGAAGAAGAAGAAGAAGAAGCCTGGGAGTGCTGAAGAAGATCAGAGGATTGTTGTGAAACCCTTCCGTGGTGATGGTGAGGGAGTGAAGAGCTGACGATTGGATTTTATCTTTGAGGTGTGGAGCTGGAGAGCTGGTGGAGACGTGGATTGTGATTGTTGATGCGTGCTGCGGCAGGCTGGGGCTGCGACGGTGTTTCTCCCGTGTACGTGAAGTTTGTTATGCTGCTGGGATACGAGAAATTGAAGCGTTCAGTGGGGACCTGAATTAAATACCGCGCTGGATGGCGATCGTAGCTGAAGGTCCTGGCGTGCCTCATTGCTTGTGAGAGTTTCTGATACTGGCGTCTGAAGGAGGTTGATAGGGCTGTGGAGCTGCACACACGTGCGGTACGATAGTGGATGATGACCAGTGCCGGAGCTGTCTGTGCGTCGTCAAAGCACCATTTCTTCTGAAGCAATCTCAAGTGCGGGAATACTATCGTGCTGAAGGTTGAAGTCAAACGTTTACTGAACACTCTGAAATTCTTAGAGTTGAATTGTGAAGACGTTTGGCACAGAATGCACATCCACGCTGTTCACGCGATTTGCGCCAGAAATACTCCTCGTAGCTCAATCAGGAAGGTCCGAAACTCGATGACCTTACAGTTTGCAGCCGAGGCCAGTGACTGCGGATGGCGGATACCAAACCTTGTAGCACCTCTCTTCTAAGGCTCTCCTTTCGCTTTTTTATGAAAGTGCGAAAATCGTGAGATGCTGTCTTCTTCGTTCTTAGTTTCTGAATATAACAGTCGCAAAAACAGCTCGGGAGTATACGACACAGTAATTGAGCCTGTGCTGGATTCCAAACAATTTGCGGAAACTATGAACCGAAAGATGAAAGGCGCAGAGGTACGTAGAGGGAACAGATAGGGATGGAACAAGGAGGCCGAAGCGAATGCCAACGAGTCGAATTTGTTGATACTAGCAAGAGAGAGTTAGCAATTGGTCAAGATTGTGGCGCTCTTTTCATCGGTCACGCACCATTGCGTGTGTTAAGGAACTTCTCATGGTTTGGAGGACTGCGGATACCACGCCGTATAGCACCTCCAATCTATTCACATCAAAATCCCGGCACTTCCCTTAACTACTCCGACGACAACAAGTCTGTGAGGTGCTGCGCTACTTTTTGTAGGTTTCTCGAGTTACATCATACTACCTTGCATCTAGATTTTTTTTTTTTTTTTTTTTTTTTTGTTTTTTTTTTTTGTTTTTTTTTCCATTCAAACGAATACTATCTTTTCGGTTCCCTAAGTTTGTAATTAGAGCACTTGGTCCGCCTGAAATCCCCGACATGCTTTTAAGAGTGTCAATGTCGTCGTATCTTCCATATCTAGATTAGAACTGGATAGAGTTTGTAGCAGGTGAAGGCGCCATGGTCAACCTCAATGCTTTTGGATCTTACGGCTTAAGCTTTTGATTAAATTACAACGAAGTTACTATCTAATAGTTTCATGCATATTTGAACCATTTTTATTATCGGAACTATAAATTTTGTGGAAATCAGTTGACTGGTTGGTTAAGCTTCGCAAGTTTTCTGGGAACGGATGAAGAACCTTGTACATCTTTTAATACTCTTGTTTATCTTCGTTGAGGCAGATTTTGTGTCTAAGATGAAAGGATTGCGGGGGACGTCGTTAGACGGGTCAAGAAGAATCCCGATTGATATTTTATCGGAGGATAAGTTTGAGAATCGCAGCATAGATGGAACAAGTTCTACCCTCAGCATGGAGGGCTTTAGTATGGACCTATTGGGAGATGGAGATGCGAGTTTTAGTCTGAATCACTGTGATGATGCCGCAAGCAGTTCGACGGGTTCTTCACCTTTGGGATGGCCGTTGGGCAGAATGGATAGACCAAATGCAGCTCTTTCACCTTCATCGAACATGCCTAGTGGTAGGAAGAACTTCATGTGGGAAGAAAAGAGGGAAAAAAGAACTACAGAGCTCTCAGGTTTGTCAGCGTCTTTCACTTGAGCACTTGCAAATCCTTAATAAGATTTTTTTTGCGATTTATCTTCACATTCAACAATTTTCAGCATTATTCAAGCATTCTCAAGTCATCAGGGTCTGCTACCAAGCGAGCTTCCTACCGTTGCACATTTGACCAGCCATTTTATTTCAGTTGCGAGTGATTGTTATTTCTGATTACTTTTTGCTTCTACAGAAGTGGAGATGATGAAGGAGAAGTTTGCAAAGCTTCTGCTTGGGGAGGATATGTCTGGTGGGGGAAAAGGTGTTTGCACTGCGTTGGCTATATCGAACTCAATCACGAATTTGTCAGGTACAAATCAACGATCTTACCATTCTTGATCTCTTTGTTAAACAACCTTTCTCCCACCTGGATGGGCATATTGTTGCAGTGTTGATTCTTTGACGACTAGCTTAAAAAAGGCTTCCGCTTCAGCAGCTAATGCCTTAGATTGTGATTGCAGCGTCAGTGTTCGGAGAGTTGTGGAGGTTAGAGCCTCTGTCCATGAAGCGGCGGACCATGTGGAGGCGAGAGATGGATTGGATTCTTTCAGTTAGTGATCATATCGTTGAGCTGGTCCCATCGTGGCAACGATATCCAGATGGAAGCACAATTGAGGTATGCTGCTCTCTTGATCAGGTTTCCTGGCATTCTTTTTATTTCAAAGCGTGCAAAAGTACGTGTCTATATCCCGAAGTCATTCACCGCAATCTTAATTCATAAGATGAACGCGTCAATATATTTCTCTTGCTCCATTCACCATCTGCAGGTGACTTGGATTGTTTTTTCGGACAAGTTAAAAAGGATTCTACATTCTTGAATGCAGATTATGATAAGCACACCTCGATCAGATCTTAGCATCAACTTGCCAGCGCTTAGAAAGCTGGACAACATGTTGCTTGTACGTTCCTTTTTCCTACTGCCTTTCATATATTGCGTGTGCATTTATTTACGGAAATTTTCATTTGATTGGTATGTTTGAGCTGCTCTCTCAGTTCCGAGCATCGGACCTGAAGAATGCTGTAAGTTTCGTGGCTAGACAGCTATTTTTGGTGGTAGCATGGCTCGATTACTCGTTGAGTCGAACGCGACAGTTCGTTTGTCTGCATATCATCCTAGTTGAGTTCATTTCAATCTCTGTTGACATTTTCTATGTATTTCTCAGGATTCGCTTGAAAGCTACCATGAGACGGAATTTTGGTACGTGGACCAGGGGATTTCAGTTTCTGAGGACAGTAGAAACGTGCGGCATTCTATGCAGCGGCAAGAAGATAAATGGTGGCTGCCAACCCCAAATGTGCCTGCTAGGGGTCTTTCAGATTCTTCTAAAAAGTTTCTACACCATCAAAGGCATGCTACAAGTCAAATTCTTAAAGCTGCTATGGCTATCAATGCACAAGTATTAATCGAGATGGAGGCGCCGGAGTGCTACTTTGAGACTCTCCCGAAGGTACTACTTTTAACATCTTCCTCCCTGCCTAGAAAGTAGTCAAGCATGCTGGTATGGTTTCGTATTTTGATCATTTAAGCCGAAGTTTCTCGGGCTTAGATTTTCTGCGCGGTTGCAGTGTCTCTGTACATTGGTAAAGCCACAACGATGTGATAATAGACCAGTCAGTGGCTGAGGTGAAGGTACTGATAAGTTGCAATGTAATTAATTTTCAGAATGGTAGAACTTGCCTTGGTGATGAACTGTACCGGGCAATAGCCTCGGAGCATTTTTCTCCAGACCGACTTGTATCAAACTTAGACGTACACGATGAACACAATATTTTAGAGATGGCGAATCGGTTAGAAGCTGCAGTGGTTGGGTGGCGGCGAAGAAGTCAGACAAATGGAGTGACTCATTTGTCTTCATACGAGAACAAGCTCAACCGCAAAACCTCTTGGAGTAAAATGAAGGACTTAGTTGGCGATGTAGAAAGGAGGGCAGTACTTGCTGAAAGAGCGGAGAGTGTACTCATATGCTTGAAACAACGAGTTCCAGGCATGTCGCAGACCGCTTTAGATGCAAATAAGATCCAGTTCAACAGGGTATGTTCATAACCAGGGCCCGCTCATTTATGCAACGACTGAATGAATATGTTTCTCATTGGGTGCTTTTTTAGCAGCTTTTCATTGTGATTATCTCGAAGAGGGAACGCAGTAACAGTAAATTCAAGGCTCTGTCCAACTGTTGGCTGTTTTGAAACCGATGTGACGTGTGTTTTGTTACATATTCGTTTCTATTAAAGAAATTTCATGCTCGTCATGGAGTACTTGATCTGTTCTAATTTATCTTTTGTTGAAACCGCAGGATGTGGGGCAGTCAATTCTAGAGAGTTACTCGCGTGTACTGGAAAGTCTAGCCTTTAATATCATTGCACGCATTGATGATGTCCTGTATGCGGATGATCTGGTGACGAGGTCATTGCGGCCTCAACTATCCGTAAATCAGGATGGATCACTATCGCATCGTCGAAGTTTCTCAAGTCGAAGAATGAGACATAATGGTTCCGATCGATTCACTTCCTTAAGCACCACATATACGACACCTTCCATCTCGCCCAGCTGTAGCCCTGCGCCGAGTCCTCGTGGTTCAACCCCGAAATCTCCTCACGAGGACGCCAAGGAACAAATTCTAGCGCCTTCTTTTGGCAAAGCACTGTCAGAGTACATGTGTAAATATATACCAGAAGGTGAAGCTTTGTTGGAATCTGAAGGCCCACGTAAATTCTCGCTGGATGATGGGAGGTCGTGGACACATGCAGGACATCTCGAAAATTTAAATGCTCTTCACAGTCCTCCGGGGCGCGACTAGTAGTATATCTTTGTAAGCAACCTTCTTGTACATTATCAATTCTTCACTAATCAGAAGTTGTCACATGCTAGCATAGGGACACACACAGTATGCAACGCTCATCTTTTTCGGGCTTACCCTAGTGAAAACTTCAACAGATTGTTTCTTCTCCGAGGAGAACTCGCAAATACGCATCATGTGTACCCGTAATTTATTACTCGGTTCATTAATCACAAAATTTTCCTTCCGAAAACCCATGTACTTCCTCTAGACGATATAGTAATTCGGTCAAAATTCGTTGTGTACACACACGTAAACTGATCGTAGTTTAAGTTATGACAGAGATGACTTCTTGTGGGAGGGTTCACGACTGGTCACCGTCAAGTAAGATCTTGGACCAAACCATGACTTGTGGCATTTGGACAACACACCTTAGACATTGAAGTACCCGTGCAGCAAATATAAACAAGGGCAGATACAGGAAAGGGACTTCCGCACCAATACGATTGTGTACTAGCCACACCTAAATCAAGCTTAGCCTTATCTTCGGCGAAACGATGATCAGGGCAATACGCGCATCATACATAGTAGTCGAAAGTAACAGTTTCTAGGGTTCTAAGATGGCCCCTAGCGTCTAGACTCTAAACCGCTCAACGCACACGGAAATGCTGTGTTTTTGAAGCTCGTGAATTCTTTCCATGAAAAGTGTATTGGACGGTCACATCCAAGTCACGAGGGTTCTTTTTGTTCTGGGAAACGCTCATTGTGCCCGTCAAAGCCTCACCCTCGCAGATTGCAACACAGCATTTCCGTGTGCGTTGAGCGGTTTAGAGTCTAGACGCTAGGGGCAATCTTAGAACCCTAGTACATAACCGTTTGCTTCCAGTGCGTGGATCGCGCCTTGGGTCCTGCACACGAGCAGAATGTTTCATTCAGTGATATTTATCTCATCAAAGATATCATATATATATATATATATATATATATATATATAAATACACGATGTTGCGGGTGGGGCACAATATGAAACCCATCTCCCGAATGTGAGGGTCAACTCAATCAGTGACTAGGAGAGTGGACAGATTACTCACCTGTTGAGAATCCAGTGGGCTTATGGCACTTCGAGAACATAACGTCGAAGTAGGCAACCAAAGCATGAATGAAATCATTCCGGGTAGCCACTACTTTGAAAGGAGCTGAGAAAGAAAGATCCCTGGTGCTCGTCTATGTGTCAAGCATGTTTTCAAAGAGAAGAAAGTAACCCATCCATTCTGAGATAATAATGTCGATTTTTTCAACTGGTAGCTTTATTTCCTCCACCTTTCCTTTCAGAACCGTGATAACTGCATCTCAAGCACACAAAATTTCGTGCCCGCAATTCCAAAGCCACTAAACTCACAAACCGATGCTAATGTATTGTACAGTAAATCTAGACATGATTTCGGGGAACACTGGCTCATTACGTAAACTGTGCTTTACTTTTCAACCAATGGCCATGTATTGCAGTTCTGCAGAGCACCCATTTACCACACTCACCGTCACTGTACCCGTTGGCTTTCACAATCTCTCTTGCAGTATCTGCCATTGTCGAACATTCCACCTGTCACCAACAAGAAGGAGATTGCCTGCACCAGGTGAGCACTAATCAAGCAACTTAGAAAGTATCTAAGTAATTCCTGCACCAGTCTAGGTTCATCACTGTCAAATAATAGAGGTGAGCAACCAGCTCATCGTATCAGAGGGAATGTTTAAGGTTAGTAAGCAACTCACCGCGTATACATGCTTCGCCCCACTCTTGGCGCAGAAGAGAGAGAGAATACCTGTCCCCACTCCAACATCCAGAACTGTTTTGTCTTTACATAAAAAACTATTCTGATAGATAACATTTTGGTACGCCTTTGTTCTCACAGTATCCTTCAACATCTCCTGTGAAATGAAAATACCAATACCGATAACAATTCGACACATTGTTTTAATCATAATGAATACAGTCTTGAAAAACCATTTGACTTCATAATTGAAAATGCACACAGCGCATCGTACACTCTTCAGGATATCCACCCTACCAAATTTAGTCCAACTTTCCATCTCCAGGGTAATATCATACTGACTGACACAAAAGGCAACACCACAAATAATAATCTTTCGTGCATAAAATATCTTTCATGCCACTTGCAAGACTTATATTATTGATAAGAAGCCAAAACTCACTTCATGAATGCCTGCAGAGAACCACCACAGCAACAGGAAAATAAGAATCATTGAAAGGCACAGACAATCGAACCAAAAATTGTCAACATCTACAAGATTGAGTACAAGGGACAGCCCAGGCTCACAGAAAAAACAGGCTCATCAACGACTACTTTCATGCCAAGGATTCAACACATTTGTAGTCAGATCCGCTTAGCAATATCAACTACCTCTCTCAAACCATGTTTTCAATTCTCGATGAGAAGATAAAGAATCAGAGAAAAGCTGAATACTCAAATATCCATGACATAACAGATAGGACAAGAGAAGAATCCAACGCCGCTAAACTTTTTAACTTCCAGAAAACTGCCCGGAAAAAATGTATGACTGACACCACTAACCGAAATGCGCATAGGAATCGAAGTAATAATCCGAACTTGTATGCTCTAACGGCGTGACCACACCCTGATCGCTCTCAATCTGAGCAGTGGCGATTGAAGGCACCGAGATGGCTTTAACGTCCCCCTCCTCTGCAGCCATAGCTTCGACTACATTCCCGTTGGCAACGTTAATGAGCGACGCCCCCTCCTTCACCGCCTTCCCTTTGTTCCGACGTCCCATGAGCCCTGATCAAACACCTTTCTCCTGGAAGAACAACAACAACAAACCTTTGCCACCTCGTTCTCTCTCAAAACTACACCAAAATCGACGTGGCAACTTCGCGTGCGTCCACAAAATAAAATTATACCAATCTAAGCAGGGAGCGGCCTCTGCCAAGGGGTCTAAATTTCGCAACGAGGCCGAGTGTCTCCATCGCTCATGAAACCTAAGCTAATGGTGCAACCACACGCTCGGAAAACTAGGGGGTGCTAGACATGATTACTGGCTAAACCGGTCCTCGGCACCTTCCCCGTTTCGATTCCAGGTTGTAGGCGGTTGAAGTTTCGGCATTGCCGGGATTCCCCGGTCATTATTGCCGACCAATGTTTAGTTAACCTTCGTAGATGTTCACGTTAGAGAACGTGTGTTTATGTAGGACACATCATCTATGTTCTACGTAGATTTAGCATATGTTCCAAAAGTTACTCCTAGGAATACATTTGTTGTTGGCTTTGTGTGTAATTGAATGATTTATTTTTTTATTAATGGACAAAAGCTAAAGCCTTAAATCATCATTGTTTTGTTTTGTTTGGTTTTGTGTTTTGTGTTTTGTGTTTTTTTTTTTCTTTTCTTTTCTTTGTGTATATTTGATTTGAACACAAAATTATGATGAGTGTAAAAGTTTAAAGCTCTTATGTCATCATAGAAAGATTAAAATATTATAATTATCCTTCATTCAATTATATATATATTCATTTACAAAAGTACATCCAAATATATATAAATAATTTAGCATTCTATTCTTATTTTATTTTATATTAGATGTGTGTTGTTAGATTTTTATGCTTTTTATATTTTAAAAATAATTATGAAACTATTAATAGTCATCATTTCAAAAGAAATTTTCTCATTATATTACTTATGGTCTTATCTCTTCTTGTAACTCATAAATTTACACCCTTATCTCAAGTTAAGATGTTTTCTAACATTATTGACTTTCGTGGCTTGCATTCATATATTGTTCTTTACTAAGGTGCTACTAAACTCTAATGTCACTTTAAAGTCCCATTGACCTTTATATTATGTATACTATTTAAAAGAAAAATGCATACTCAATATCTTCTTTTTCTTAAAATGCTTTGTTACATCAACTTGATGTATTAATCATTTAAAGTATACAATTTGATCAGTATAAAACCTCAATCAGAGATTATCATCACTTCATGTTTCGTTAAAATAATAATGCTTAAGAATATTTTAATAAAAAATAATATCCAATTAACATGATGCATTTTAAAAATATTTCATCTAGAATATGCTACTACATTCAATAGAACATGCTACTTCTGTTATTTTTTGAAGTATGGGTGTTTTTTTTGCTACCACATAATCCAACCATATCAAACGTATACACAACACTCAAAATGTTGACCCATAGTGATGATAAACCATATTTAAGTAGCTGAAACAAAAAACATTTAAGTGACAATGGATTGACCAGTATTATATTCACGGAAATTATGATACAGTTTTGTCCTCTACAAGTAATCCATTCATGCATGCATTGTTTAAATACTAACTCCAACGGTACAGTACCCACAACTTGTTGATAAACTATTGAATGCTTGAAATATGTTCAGTTGCATCATCCATTGATATCACATTACTTTACAAGAGCTTCTTTTCAGCAAATAAGCATCATTGTCACACAAGTGTCCAACAAGTAAAAGCATTCAGAAATGTATTCAGCATGCCTCCGAGATATCATAAAACCAGCTCAATCCATAACTCTCCATTGATTTTTTTTGAAGAACTGGGATAAGAATCTCTCTCCGAACTGTTAACTGTTTCAACAAGACGCAGGAGCTCTTGTAGCAACTTGTATAAAACACGCTGCATCGTTCTCAGTTTACAATCTATCTGCCTCAATCTCTCACAAGACATGCTTTCTTGAAGCTTAAGATTGAACCTTCACCAACCTCACAGCAGACTCTGTGTCCATAGAGTCGAAGTATAAACCATATCAAAGTGGCTAATATGCTTCTGCAATTAATCAGACTGCTTGATCAGTCGCAATTGAGCTAGTAGCACCAGGCCTTGAGCATCAATGGCGTCATTGACAGCAAATCACTTGAGCATACAGGAGATTGTAGATACCATGAGCTCATCTTACAAGAGTTAAGTTAATCCGAGGTTTACTACACACGCATGGATTGCTATAACTTGCTTACCAAGTGGTTTAGAATCGCGTCATTTAATGTCCTCTTTATGTACAGCAACCGTGGTGCACTTCGTATGGGCATCCCGAGTAACGTCGAGATCTGGTCAAGACAGTTGGTCTATTGTGGATGGGGGCGGCGTGAAGAAACAGGCCGATGATCATCATCATTGAGCGTCAAACACGTTTGCAGTTCTGGGTGGACTGTCTTTGAGAGCTGCAGCGAGCCAATCCAGTCCTTCACGGAGCCCCTCACCCGTGGTGGTAGTGCAAGGTTGCACGTGCCATTCCCTCTGTTTCAATCGGTTCAGATGGAGCTTGTCTGTGACCTCCTTGGCTGTCAAAACTTTAGCCAAGTCTTGCTTGTTTGCAAAAACCAGAAGCTTTGCTTCGGTGAGTTCGGAGTTATTCAGCAGCTTGTGAAGCTCATCTCTGGCTTCTGAAATTCGATCCTTGTCATTACTGTCGACCACGAAGATTAAACCCTGCACATGCGCCAAGAATCGAATCACCTGAAGGCTAAAAACTTGGACTTGTACGCACACGTCTTGGCCTGAGAATCCCAATTGTGGAAGGCGTTTTGAAGAATTTCAAACTGAGTCGAAGTTTTAATTCGTCCAAGCCAACGACAATAAAATCGTCGACTGTGCAAAGATGTTACAATGGAAACAGAAGAAATAATAAGCATGCTCCATAAAGCTACTTTTGAGCATGAATCAGTAACCAAGCACGAAACAGCACCACCAAGTCGAGAAAGGCGTCTGCACATGGATGAGCAGCTGACCTGGGTGCCATCGAAATAATAGCGCCAGAGAGTCCGAATCTTGTCCTGACCTCCCACATCCCACACAGTAAAGCTCACGTTCTGGTATTTGATTGATTCCACGTTGAGCCCAATTGTGGGTATCGTCGTCACCAGCTCACCCATTTTCAGCTTGTACAAAATTGTCGTCTTCCCTGCGTACCAAATGTCATGCAAAACCCGTCAACAATGAACGACATCAACCGTCAAACTTGCAGACTAAGGATGTCTAAGCCCACAGGCCGCGCAAGTTTCCGGCGCTACTTTTAGCATTGGAATGATTGCTTTCATATGTTGTGCAAAATGATGTGGTCGTAATACATGTATTGCGGAGGGTATTCACGAGGCTCAGGAAGAAAGATTCCTCACCTGCATTATCAAGGCCGACCATAAGAATTCCGTAGTCCTTCGTCCCCCAAGAAATTGTGGACAGCAGCTTCCCCAAAAAATGCCCCATGACTGCTCTTCGTTGAACTCTTTCTTAACTTTTATTAAAGAATTTATCCCCTTCACGAACTGTATCACGTAATCCCGTCAGATCATTATTGGGAAATCGAACAAAACTAGGACTGGACTTGGCAAGAAAATAGACAGCTGAGTAAATGTTGGAAAAGAGTCAAAGCGCGAATTCTAGTGCTAAATCTGTAATAGCAAATGTCGGAAAAAAGACAGTTGCATGTAGATGTGCGACCGCTTAATTAAATAACCGACTCAATTGAAGCGTTTGCAACTAATATCCAAGGCCAAGGTCGAGGCAGAAGTCAGACACGAATAACCACAAGAAGACGATCCCGAAAAGACCCCAAAGAGCAGAACTTGCATCTAGGGAGCGCAATTGCAATTTGATAGCAACGAACGATTGTGTTGACTGACAAAACAATACACTTGACTGAAATTAATCTGCTCGTGGATCGTTAAGAATACCAATTACATAGCAAAGTCATAATTACGTACAATTTGATACACGCACACAAAACTCTTGCATATAGCCAGACAAGAAGCACCCAATTCATTACCAGACAATCTCTTTCTGACACAAACTGCAATGACGGCAGTGATCCACCCGTCTCAACGCATCGCTAAAAGAGCGTAAGCATGAAAACTACATCGTTAGTCGTCCTCAACAAACTAGAGTTCTCACAACCCCTCACAAGTTAAACAACAACAACCTAATGACGCACTGCATCCTCACAATTCTAAGAAAATTCACAATCCACACAGCACCAACAAAACCCTCCACATTGTCCCGACACCCCGACACATTCCAGGAATCCCAACGGACACAAAGCCCCCGAGATCCTCACCCGAGAAGATCGCACCTCTCCACGCAACTAACACTAATTCACCTGGCTAAGGGTGTCCAGTTCTAAACTCCAAATCCGCAAGAGCACCTTCGAGTGAAATAACCAATTGGGCAACAGAGAAGCTTCGGAATGCGCCTGGAAACGGAGCATCTGCGCACGAACTCTGACAAGACGTGGATGACACTCCAAGACTCCTCCTCCTCCCTTTTCTTCCTCTTCCTGCTCATTTCTCTACAAAACCTCCATCACCTTACGCTCGTAACAAGACCTACCGACTGTGCTGACAAAGACCCACTGCCCATCGTGTGCACGAATTGCGTCACATGAGACACAATTGACCAAAAGTCACGCGTACCCATTCCTCGGTGCTACAAATTTGACCGAATTGCGTCGAAGAAATCCACTGATCCCCTTGGATTGTGGGTGGGTCGAAGGCATGTCGACGAACGCCGCGCTTCCATCCGCGAGGGTGGCCTCATTCCTTCCTTCCTTCCTGCGGCGCGGGTCTGGGGTTGCACGGGTCGAATCAGGCCCCACCCAGCCCGCTCACCCGCGCCATCTGCCCCTGTCGTTAGAAGCCATTCTTGTCAGCCTTTTTACGAGCCCGTGCCCGCGCCCGTGCCTTTTGGCCCCACCACCCCTATTGCCGTCGTCACGGTCTTGGGTCCATCTCACTTTTAAGTATGCATCCTCCATGCTTGTGCAATGGATGCAGTTGGAGAGACAAAAATGATGTGTGTTTTTGTTTTTGTAGTTTGTAACTTTGGAATTGTAGTTTCCATGGATATAAATCAATTTTTATATTTTTAACTTATTTTTTATCTCAAAATTTGGATTCTTTACTGTTCTAATTGGAACTTTCTTTGTAAACGAGAAGATTGGAGATTGAGTAGTTTAGATATGTGTATTAGATGAACAAAGCACCACTAAGAAGTCTAGCATTTAACATATTGTAAGTCGAATCTTCAAGACAATATTTGTATACATGGATTAAGTTGACAATAAATTCTTTGCACTAATAGTTGGAATTAATACAAAGCATTCAAGCTATATAGTTGCTTCTCTTCTTTGAATAAGTATTGTTAATCTAGAATTTTAATTTTAGAAATAAATATGACATTTTAATTTTTTTATAAGAGTGTATTTAAAATTTAATTGTGATTTTTTTTTTCAAAAAAAACATCTTACTTACATGTTAATTTTTTAAAAATCCAAATCATGACTTGAATAATGGTGCATTACTATGTGAATAATTTTTATATGGAATATTCATGGATTTAAAAAAATTATATCTTTATTTAAAGGCCTTTATGCTTAAAATTTCTAAATTCAACTATCAATGATTTCTTTGATAATAACTTCATATTTATATTTAATCCTTATATGTGATTGCACTATAATGCAAGAATTTTCATATTGATGTTATTGTTGTTTGTAGATTTTACCTTCAAGGATATTTATATAAGAATAATTGCACATAATAAAATATTTATATTATTTTAAAATTACTATTGGATCATTAGAAAAAAAAGATATATTTTGATTTTTAAAATATTAATCCAAAAAATTATCATTGTGCTAATAATTTATTAATTTTTATTTTTATTTTTAAAAACACATTGTTCAAATTTTTTTTTACAATTAAAATAGATTATGCCAATTTCAACTTTAAAGTAGCTTTATATTATTGTTGAGGTAAGAATTTGAAACGTAGATGATGCAAGTTCTCTAAATAAATACATATATTTATTCACCTTGGTACAACAACTTAACTTAAAACAACATGCTAAAATACTAACCTATTTTATATACTACTATGAATTTTTTTTTTTTAAGTCTACTAGCCTTTTAAGTTAGAACATCTCTTAATTTAAAAAGAATGTCAATATAGTTTGTCTATCCATTTGTTCTGATTGAAGTTGCTTCATTAATTTCAATCCACATCTTCAAGTAATTAATATTATTATTTCTAATCAAATAAAATAAAAAAATCTGTAATTAAACTTGTACTTTTTCACCACATTTCAAAACAACCAAATATACAAGTTAACAAGAATCTCAACTAAAAGATTAAAAGCACTTGCAAACATTTGCTTGTATCAACACTAAACTAAGTTTTGTAGAATCAAAGAATATTCATATGAGAAAAAAATTATCTAATATTTTTTTTAAATATATAAATAAATAATTTAAATAAAGAATAAGTGTTTTTTTAAAATAATAAGTTTTAAACAAATTAAAGAAAACCATCAATAAAACTCCATTATTACTTCAAAAAAATAACGTTTCACTAAGTTAAAGTAAAAAAAGGTATTTTTAGTATATATATATATATATATATATATATATATATATGTGTGTGTGTCATATCAAAATTATTAAATACAAAATTCCTATTACATTTGATTTTTTGATAAAGTCACTTTTAAAAGTTAAAAATGTATTAAATGTAATAATTATATTATTATGACTAAATTATGATAAAATAAAGTCATTATTGATATATAATCAAAATAAGAATTGCATTAATTTTTATAAATACATACATATATCAAAAATAAATGGCTCATGCTATAAGCACACTCCAAGTTGTTATATATATACACTTATTATATCCATACATACACCAAAGGCTTCTGATTAGCTCATCCAAATTCCTTTTTTTCTTATCTTGGCTCGAGTCATAGTTCTCCTCCTTCTCTTCTTTGATTCATTGCAAGTCTTAGCTTTCTTCTCTCTTTCTTAAATTAGCATAGATCTTGGTTCCCACTTTTTTTTTTATTCCAATATGAGTCTTGATTTTTTTTCCTAATAAAGAAGAGATGGAAGAATAAATTGAGACTTGTACCAAAAAAAAGAAGAAATGGCAAAAGGAACTAAGCCTTGTATTGAGAGAAGAAAGAAAAGAAGAGAGGCTAAGACTTGTGTTAAAGCAAAAGAAGAAAGAAAGAGAATAGAACCAATGCTAGAATAAGAAAAAGAAAGAAAAAAACTAAAATCCATATTGAGAGAAAAAAAAATGAATTTAGATAAGTTGATTAGAAATCTTGAATGTATGAAAATATATAATGTAATGAATATATATATATATATATATATATATATATATATATATATGTCAATAATTATTTAGATTATATTAATAAATATAAATAAATAAAAATAGAAAAATTTGATAATATCTTGTAGAAAATATTTTTAGAAGCTTCATAGATGTGGCTTTGATTTTACATGTTTTATTAGTTGATTGATAGGTTAGAAACTTGGCTAAAAAATTAGCAACTTATTACACGTATTGATAGCATGTGGTAAAAGCTAACCATATAGTGCACATATAAAAAACTTACTTTATAAGTTAAGGCATGTATCTTACAAGCTAGACAAGTATAAGAGGTCTTATAAAACATCACCACATAGCTTCTAGTTAGATGGTATATATGGATATAAAAGAAAGGCATTCTTCACTCTTGTTAATGCTTTTTTAATCTTTAGACTTTTTTCAAGACTTTTTAATTTTTTTATCTTTGAAAATAGTTATTTCAATTTCAATACTATATTAATCTTGAGTTTTTATTTATTTAAAATTTATTTTCTTGACAATTGCCAAGAATGCTAATTCATTGTTTTTGTTTTGTTTTAGAAGTGAGTGGATCACCCTACTTCTATTGTTGAGTTTTGAAGGTTTTAGACTATCCATTACTAAATTGATATTTAGTTTTAATTTTTTTTTCTTAAAATGAGATGATTATCTTTCTTTGTGGGAATTTTTATTTGATATTAAAGATTACAAATTACCTTCTTCTAATTGATTTTTAGATTTGTTTGAATTATCTTTAAAAGAAAAAATTATCGATGCTATTATTTTAAAATTTGAAAATAAATTTGTAACTATTTCAAATATTTATATGCTTGTTAACAATCTTGCATTGAAAATTTCATGTATTTTTAATATCAACCATGGAGATAATATTCCTATGCATGTAGAAGAAGTTAATAATAAAATTCAAATTCTATTCGAAGAAGTTGTGCTATTGAATGAAGCAAGTAGATCGAATTCACAACTAAATCCAATAAATCTTGCTACTACAAGTATGAGAAAAGCAAGTATAAGTATGCCAAAGAAGTTTGATGGAATAAAATCAAAATTTCAAGGATTTTTATAACAAGTGAAGTTCTATCCAAAGTTTTGTCTTTTCCAATACCATGATGGATTTACTCAAGTTGGATTCATAGATGCACTTCCATCTAGGAGTATTTTTTTTTAGTTGCATCTTTGAATAAAAAGAATTTAAAACTATTCTATACTTTGAATTTATCCTTGAAATAGTTTACAATCATATTTGAAGAAAGTAATTGAAAAAATGTAATAGATATTAAACTCATATTTTTATGAAAAAAATCAAATTTATCCATTCTATATGTTATTGAATTCCAAAATCTTCTTTGTGATATAGATTGGAATGACAAAATTCTTATAAATCAATTTTGATATGAATTGAAAGATAATATCAAAGATTTATTGTTGATAATGTTAAAAGTAGATTTATTACAACAATACATTAATCAAGCTATTCCATGCAATAATTAACTTTTTGAAAGATATAAAAAATAGTGGTTTAGTTGAAATAATATAAGTCAAGTTATGTTAATACTTATTAAGTTTTTTGAAGTTTATTCATTAAAGTCAAAATCTATAAAAATTAATATTATATATTTTAAAATTTTTATTAAATATTTTTTTTTAACATTATTAATAAGATTTATACTTATATTGTAGAGCATCCAAGTAAATTTCTCAACATTGTCTAAAAAAATAATATAATTACAAAATAAAAATTATGATTGTCAAAGACAACAATATATCAAAAATCAAGTTTTTCCAATTACCATAGAGACTGTGTGGTTGAAACCTTATACAATATTTAATAAAGGTCATATTCTCTTCTTAGATTCATTATCTTATTTTATAATAATAAAAAATTTATGACCAAAAAATCACAATTTTTTTGAATTATTAGATTCAAGAGCCTCATCTTATTTTATAAATAAAGATTTTTTAAAAAATATATATATATCTTTAGTTTAAAAAATCAAATCCATACATATAGAAGTAATAGATGGTTGTTTGTTCTCTTTTGGAGATGTCATTCATAATTTATTTTTTTTTAGATTTAACAACTAATAGTCATAATAGCTTTGTAATATTTAATGTAATTAAATCTATATGCAACTTAGTTATTTTAGGATTATTATGATTAAAAAAATATAACTCTCAAATACATTGAATTTCTTATAATCTTTATTTTTTGTAGTTTAATTTCAGATTTTGTTAGTCAAGTAGAAATCC